CACACACCCATACACACCAAATCAGCTGCAGACTGGTTTAATTAATGTATGTCCCCTCCACTGCCCTAAAGGACAGAGACGGTATCACTGTGACACGTCCTGTGAGGCCTGTCACTGGGAAGTGTATGCACCTGCTATGTGTGTGTGTGTGTGTATGGCTGTGTGTGGCTGTGTGTGTGAGTGTGTGTGTTGTGAGAGAGACATACTAATTTTGAAGACAAATGCAGAAGCTTTGATGCGATTACAGTGGGTAGTGAAGAAAATGAATGTACTGATGGCAACAGAAACAGGATTTTATCTGAAGTCGTTTCCTGTTAATAACATCTGAGGATGTGTTTTTTATGCCTTAATGACTGAAGCCGTTTAGGAAACCATCACCATTTTCACGAAGCTTTTATGATAATAGTTCCTGCATTTTAATTTATATAAATGTCCATTTTGTTGCTCTCAGTCACTGAAGTAATAATGCTCTGCAGGACAGAACTGTTCAGTGATTTAAAGAATAGGTGTGGTGATGTGATCAACAAAATATCATGCAATCTGAAATAAAAACCCACAAAACAATATTACAAATATTTATCATGCAGAATGTATTGAACAGGCTTTCCTGGTCTTTACCCAGCAATGATTGTACTCACTCAAAGCCATGTTTGAGAAGAATTACAGAGGCTAGCAGAAGAAAGACAATGCACAATAAATCAGGCAAAGTAGTAACACTGACATACTAGTATGCTGTCAAAATATCTATAAAATATAAGAGCATCATGCAAAGTAAACACTCTGTCACGGGACCGAGAGGTCAGCACCAAAACTGGACTCAGGTGCAGAAACCCAGGGCAGAGACAGAGTGCTTTTAAAAAATGTTTATTAGTTAGACTGGACTTGAAAACGTGGACAAAAGAATCCGGGGTGAGCTGAGCGGTGTGGAAAAGCTGACCTGGGTGCAGGAGGGGAGGCAGGTGGAGCACAGAGTGAAGCAGAGGTCTAAGACAAGGTGAGTCCAGGAACTGTAGCACAAGAAAGTGAGGTTAGTAAGTGAGGTTAGTAAGGTAAATCACAAAGAGAGCTTGAAACATGAGAGTCAGCTACCAACTGGGTCGATGACTAACTGGTGGTGAATGAGCATCAGCGTGAGACTTAAATCCCTCTGCCTTGATTGCCTGCAATCAGCTCCAGGTGTGAGGAGCTGGAGGAGGAGGTGGCCCTGCCCAGGGGCGAGTGTGAGTGAGTGCTTACTCCTGTTTACCCTCAGTGGCTCAAAACTGCAACTTCTGTGGCTGGGTCAGTCCACTGAAGAAGTTGTGGCTCAGAGAGGCACAAAAGGCTTGACCACAGCTGTGTCTACAGTTGGAGCAGTGTTCATCACTGACCAGTATGATGTGAAAAAGAAATATCAGGCCTTCAAGTCTTTAGAAGTAAAGCATGTTTGTTTATCTCCTACTGTCTCAGATTTTCTCTTGCCCTACTTTCATTTGTCTGTGGTTTTAGCCTTAATAATCTGTCTTTTTAAAAATGTCATCTGTATTTTATCAAAGTCAAAGTCAAAGTCAACTTTATTTGTCAATTCTGCCACATGTACAGGACATACAGAGAATAGAAATTTCGTTACTCTCAAACCCTAGATGAAATAGCAAATGAACATTTAAATATAAGAGAGTGATTAAAAAATGCAAATAAAATAATTAAAAAGTAAAAATTTAAATAAATAAATACAATACAAATTAACAAGAAAGCTATGCAATATACAATATACAATATTCAGGTAAGGGTAAATGACATTGAGTGTAAACCAGGCAGAGTAGTGCAAATAGGCAAATGTCCTAATGTCCTAATTCCTGCCAAATCCTCTTTGTGACTGCACTGAAAAGTTAGGAGAAGAAAGAGGAAGCACTCTTCTTTTCCTTCCTACTGTTGCCAAAGCGCTTGTTCACAGGGGCTCATCTGACTGTTGGTGTTATTTGGGGGCATTTTTTGACCAAGTATGTTTGCACATATAAAGGAATTTGACTTTTCTCTCAGTGTACACAACAGAGCAGACAACAGAGAATACTGACAACATGGCATCGACATGACACACACAGCATGGAACACACAATAACAATGTGTATAGCATGAAACCGATACCACAGATGTGAATGAAATTCATGTTTTATCAATTCATTTATCAATCTCCAGCACTCAGCTTGCTGTGAAAAGCCAAAATATTCCCTAGAATGCATCAGATTGTAATTAAATAATAGAGATCAAACTAGTAATTTCAACCATCAAGTTTAAAATCTAAAAAAATATTACACTGACAACACCGTTACTGAAAAAGTAGCAAAATACTGAATCAAAAAGCATCAAGATGCAGCACATGAAGGTAACATCATCTTTCATGCTGTGCCTTTTGCTTTGTCTTTGTCTCTGCAGGTTTAAAGTGAAGTTTTGCACCTGATTGCCACGAGTAGTGTGTGCGTTGACTGTAGCACCTTTACTCTTGCCACACTTTATCAGCATCACCAAACACGGCTCATAGTCTGTAACTGAACGAACCAGCTAGAAGCCAGAAGGCTGGCTTACATGTAGAAAAAACACATTTATCATGTAAATACTAGGGGTGCAACGATACACAAAATTCACGGTTCGGTTCAGTTCGATACTTTGGTGTCACGGTTCGATAGTTTTTCGATACAAAAAATGTTCATGCTTTTTTAATTTGTCATTTATTAAAATTATAAAAATATATTTTAACTCAAAAGTACAGTTTTTAAATTTAATATTGCTGAAACAACAAAATAATAAATCTATCTGATGGAGGAATCCCTCATCTTTGGAAAAGAGAGTTTATTACAGAGAAATGGCTCTTTCAAAATAAAAGCTATACTATCCACTTCTTCTGGGCTATATTCTCAGCAGCATATTAAACATATCAGGTCCCCATAAGGAGAATCCTGTGCTAACGGCTGTCTAAATGACTCGGCTAAAGTTTGTAGCATGCGTGCTTGTTGTTTTTGTCTGCTTCCACTTGTCTTTGCACGAGGATGATGTCGGTGTAAATGTGCAGTCATATTCGTTGTGTTCCCACTAGTGCTGTCAGCGTTAATCTCGTTGAAATGACCTTAACGCCACAACACGGCAAATCTCCGTTAACGAGCTACCGCGGATCGCCCCGTGCATGGGGCTGGACGGCCAACACGTTAACGAGCTAACTGCGCTAACACACTAGCTCCCACCCATGTAATTGAGCACTGCGTGGCACATCCAACATACTGTTTTACTTTAGTCCATGACGCGCTTACCTTCAGGGTCATACGTCACATGAAGACCAAAATAGTTCCAAACGCCAAATCTGAATGAGGGTGGGGGAGGTTCAATTTGCCATGTTGCAAGGAGAGCTTAACTTCTGTCTCGCTAGCTTGCGCTGCGCTCAGTGAATCTGCGTTCGACTACTCCGCCTAGGCTGCACTGTCGAGCGCAGATCCACTGAGCACTCAACACAGACAGCATCGTCAGAAGGAAAGTTGATAAAATAAATTTAAAATTTTGTATTGTTCGATACATATGCGTACTGAACCGAAAGCACTGTATCGAACGGTTCAATATCGATACGAGTATCGTTGCACCCCTAGTAAATAGTATTACCTATAAGTGGTATCGACGATACTGATCCGATACCGATACTTTGTACAAAACTTAATGCTTCATTGTATTTCGTTATACCATATATAATTGTATTGTGTAATTGTAATAATAATACAATAATATAGCTTCATAATGATTACAGGACATCAGACTACTTGTTCTTATCACTTAATAATGCAGAATTATCATATAGAAATAAAAGACCTGAAGTTGTGGCTATTTGAACAGCTTGCCTGCAGCACTAAAGGACTCCCTGAGACGTCTGTCTCGCCCTAGCAGCACCTGCACAGTATAATTCACTGAGTAAATTTTACTCAAATTGAAAAAAATTTTACTCTAAAAAAGACAGTATTTGGTCCCAGTCTAAATGGAGTAAAGTTTACTCTTACGGTAGAGTTAAACTTTCAGAGTTAAATCTACTCTATTCAGTGCAAATATTTTAATACACATGATGATAATTTACTCAGTTTAGTATAAAATAAAAACAACTCCACCCTAATTTTACTCTGAGTAGAACAGAATTTTACTCTACATAGTATTTTATTCTAAATAGAGCAGAATTTTACTCAGAATTGAATTCTAATTTATTTCAAATAGAACAACATTTTCACTCCAAATAGAATTTAAATTTTACATACAACTAAATTTTACTCTAAATAGAATTAAAAGAAGAAAAATATATGACTTTATTTCGCCCTCTATGTATTATCATTCACTGCAAGGTACAATAAATAAATCAGAAATTATTTATATTTTAACAGCCACCTTTATTGTTCACAGGAAACAGTATGGTACAATATAAAAACTGGAATCACTATCACTGTATGACACCTGTAAATCAAATGTTTTACAACAGAAAAGCTCTTCAACACAAATTACATGAGGTCCATCTCTTGTACACAAAACTTGAACCCAGAAAATGTGCCATAAACTTGAGCACAACCAAACTGGCCACATTTAAGATGAAGAGTCTTACCAGAACAGAGTCCATGGATCACTTTGAAATGCTTTATCAAGGAATTAGCATTTGTCTGGGACCTCTTGCAAATGAAACAAAACATTCCAGCTCAACACTCTTAGTAGAAAAAAAAAAATTCAACGCAGCATCCGAGCCCTCAACTCTGCAACCCTAGGATTCACTTTGGTTGTATCAACATCTATCTCGTAAATGGTGGTCTGCAGGAAGTTGTACATATTGACCAGATCGTGGTCATATGACGTACCAAAGACAAAGTGAGCTTTGAAAAGCTCATCAAAACAAGCAAGAGAGCCTGGTGACTTACAAGGTACTGCATGTTTGTCTATCACAATGAAGTACTTGTGAATCACATTCCTCTGAGTGCCCACTGCAAGAAGGTATGGTTGAAGGCTCTCCGTGATGCCATCGAGATGCCCCTGGATGCTAGTTCCCGTCTGTGACACAAAGACAGATAAACGTTCCAACATGATAAGACTTCGGTTAAAAAACAAGAAGCTGACAGAATTAAGGACAGATACAAAACAGACAAAACTAGTTCAATTTTAACTACTAGCTTGTCAAAACTAGTATCTGTTATCTGTATATCTACAAAAATCTATATGCAGATATAATCTATATAAATATGTTAATTACCATGACAGTTAATTTGTTGAAATTGTAGCATTTCTATTTACAATGAACTTAAAGTTTGGAATGACTTGTTGTTTGTGTACTTTACTCAAGTGATAAAAGAAATGTGTGATGTTGCAAATACAGCCTACATATGGTTGTGGAAGACATAAAGGCTGCTTGACTGAGCTGTATACATCTCTTGGTAATGACTAAATTCATAGTTGTATTTAAACATACACCTTTTAGTTCGTCTGAAATATTGTTATCAATGTAAATATAACTAGTTATGTTTCCTTTACTGTAACTTTACCTTGACAAACTTGACAAGATGGTCACAGGCTTGTCTGGCTGAGAGCTTTCCTGGTCTCTTGCGGCCATGAGGTGATGGTGGTAACAGGTGTACAAGGATCAAAATGGATGACATGTCACTGTCCCATCCTGGAAACATAAGTAAATTGGAAACAATAATTAGCTGCCAAAACACGTTATCTGCAACTGTGTTAACACTTACATTATAAAGTTTTGAAAAAAAAAAAAGCGACAGCAGGTGACGGTGTTACACTTTCAAATGCTCCAATTAAAACATAACAATAAAATTCCATTTATTTTATCTCACCATTTTCCACTTCTATTGTGCATTCAGCATTTTGCACAAAGTACTGAAGGTCATCTGATTGCGTGAGACCACGGCTTTGTTTGAGGACTTTCTGCTTGTAGATAGTGGGCCACTTCTCCAGGAACTTCACAGAGGTGGCTTCATCGAACATCAAAGTAAAATCTTGTTCAATCTGCAGAAGAGATGAAATTATCAAACAACTTTTATGCTCACTTTTTTCTCAGATGCACCTCAACTTATAAATGTAACAGTGAGGGAAGTTGAAGGTAAGATAAACATACTAATCCTCCTATATCCAGGAATCTTGGGAAGTCCAAAAAGATATCAGATGACTTCACTGGATCATGAATCATCTTTTGGCGATAGTTGAAGGTCTGCTTCATCTTCATCATAACAATTCCTTCATCAGCTGTATGTTTCATCAGTGCAATAGCCTCAGAACACAAGCTGTCTGTCATTAGGCAGTTGTCTTCTCTGAAACAGTCTCTATCAGATGTTGGGCCCCCTAACAGTGGATATGAATAAGACAAAAAAGTGACACCGTGTCCTACAAGGCTTGAGAACTCAGCTAGAATTTTCATGCATGCAGTTTAGTCTCCAGATGAGTGAGACTTGAATTATAACTACTAACAATATCACATACCCATTTGCGTTTTTGACATTCTGGGAGTCTTGTTTTGTCCATTAGAAGCTTCCTTTAGGATAAACTTCAATCTCCAAGCCAGATACCCACTCCCATCTTCTGCATTGTAAAAATGCTCCTAAAATTAAATGAAATATTTTAATTAACATGTTAAAATATATTTACACTTTCAATCTGAAAATTGCAGCAATTGAGCTCCCTTGCTCGGGACTGGAGCGCTGAACTCTAAAGGGATTTAAATAATGAGAGTTAAGAAAAGGCAGCACAGAGGAAAGTCCTGCGAAAAGAAAAACATCTTCAGCTTTACTCAATCCAGAGCCAAACTGTTAAGTAAATTCTACATATATTTCATGCCTGAAAAATGTCTTACATTCACGAGTGAAAAGTAAATTGTTTGAACTTATTCTTTTTTGTACTTACATAGCCCAGCCTGCTCCTAGGATCAGCCAGGTATGGGAACAACGTGATGATACCCTTTGCATATTTCTCTTTAACACGTCTTGAAGGACTTGTCCTACACAGACAAACACAAAGTTGAAAGTCTAAATACCACCTCTAAGAAAATAAATGAATGAATAAATGACAGCAGGGCAGGGATAGCTCAGTAGGTAGAGTGGTGGCCCCATGATCGGAAGGTCGGGGGTTCGACTCCACTGAACGGCTACCGTGAGGTACCCCTGAGCAAGGTACCGTCCCTACACACTGCTCCCCGGGCGCTGCACTGGCGGCTGCCCACTGCTTCACTGGGTGAATGGGTTAAATGCAGAGGAACTATTTCTCTATGGGGACTAACACGCACACTTAAAATGATAAATGAATTTATCATATATATACTTATGAAATAACTATGTCAGCATACCCATGTTCACTTGTCATATGTGCAACTAATATCTTGACCATGTCACGCCGTCTGCTATCCGTTAGGCTTTTTGTCCGGGCATACTCATTGATGATCCTCTCTCCTCCTGGTTTGTTCTTTAGAACATCTTCAACCATCTAAGTTACAGTAAAATAGAGCGATATAATAATATATAATCAATATATCATAAATATTTTTCTTGTGATACTAAAAAAGCTTTCAGGTTCGTTCTAGTTCAAATCAAAGGTCTATAGTCACGAATACATGTTATTTTTTTTAAAGTATGTTTTAGTATAGAATTGAGGTTCATTAGATATTCATGATCACTGTGCTTCAAAGCCACCTAAAGTTCTGTTAAAAAGCACAAATAATTACCCTTAAATTTGTCTGTCTCTCAAGCACACTAACTTTTTATGTTGCCGATCTGGTCTACAATTTGCAGACCTGTGCTGAAGGAAAGACAGCAGAATCTTGTGCTTTTATGACAGTGATAATAATACATATAATATATTCAAATTTGTGTCAACTTTCTGAAAGGGTATACAGCAAACTACATAGCTTACTCGGGCAAGAGAAGTGTCGTCAGCTCTCCGTCTTGTTGTAGGACTGTGTTCCAATAATATGGTGTCATCAGAGTCCACTTCAATTTCTCCACTGGAACTGGTAAAGGAGGTGCTTGCAGAAGAATCTATCAAATCATAAAAATTATAGAGGTCACTTTTGTGCTGCCCCTGACTGCAACAATGAGGTTCATGAAGCTGGGTTTGTAAAGTGCTTTATGAGTGAGCAGTGTAGAAGATTTTTAGTTGTAGTGCCTTGATGTTCCTGTTTTAGCCAATGAGTGACAGAATCGATAACATAAACTAATTTAAGTTTATTAGTCACAACCAACCACATGACATCACATTCCATAACAAACAGAAAATCTTTTTAAATGTTTAGCAGTTATTTCTTAAATCCAGCTTCAGAAATAGTTAAATCCATGTCAGTTTTTGAGAGCAGGGCTCCATGATGTAAATTAGCCTTTATATGTTTAGTGTTTCATGTCTTCTTGCCTTCTTGTTTAAGTTTGTATGATGGTTAGTGTTATTTACACAATCATAAACATTGTAGTACCCAGCAAAATATAGGATTATTTGAAAACAATTCAGTAAATTTATTAGCTTGCCTTACACAGAACATGTTCTACTAGCCAGGACTTAAAGCATGAATGACACAGTGGCTCAGTGATTGAGTGATTCTAGTGACATTTACCTTTCTGCAGATGTTAGATTTTTCTTTGCTTAAGTTAAAATGCTGTTACCAAGCTGATGGGACATTAAACTGTTAAAAATTCCATCAGGGATAGAAACTCATCATTATTCCATTCCCGTGGGATCCTGAAAAAAGTTTGGCCAATCTTAATATTTGGACCAAGTAATTTGATAGGACAACTGACTGTGTTACGTAACTGCTCACACCCTCTCAACTTGCAACCAGGAAATAAACTGGACTGTGGTTTCTCTCCCCACTACCCGGTCAATTAAAAGTTTAAAAATGACGATGATGATGACATTCCAAGATACTTACCATCTGGATTTGGACCTTGTGCTTGACAAATCTCTAGCACACCAAGGTTTTGTTTTTTCATAAGGAAATCAAAAACATCCTCATCAACTTCAGTCTTTGAGTCATCAAAAACTTTGAAGTCCAAGTTTGGAATGTTGAACTTCTTGGCAACTGTGAACATTATAAAATTGCATTATACATTTGAAATTAATACCAGAACAAGGCAAAAAAAAAAGTGAAATTACATAAACTGAACCAGAAAAAAAGCCTAAACATTTGGTATAGCAGCTATTATAGCACCATCCCCAAAGCTTGACTGATTCACACAAGCTATGAAACACACTGGAAACTTTGATTTTTTTACTCACCACATTCCAAAAACGATGTGTAGGTCAGTTGGCCCTCAAAACAGATGTACTTTTGTTGTTCTCTATACTTTACACGCACAGCTTGCATCCTTCATGATATGAAAAGGATATTGTTAAATAATCAGATTTATTACAAATACTTGCAAAATTGAACAAAACACACACATATATTCCTTGTATGTCTTACAATCTCACGATGCTCTGTTCTGATGAAAAAGCATGTAAAAAAAAAACACATAAGTAATAGAAAGCTCTACATTGCAGCAATAGGAAGTTTGTATAATGCTAATCTAATACACTAGGGGCTACAGACTGCAACCATGCACACAATTCAATTCTGAGTAAAAAACATGTGCTCACCTACCATTTTGGATAAAACATTGGTGCACAGGATTTGTTAAAAACACACTTCCCTGGTCAATTATACTACCTAAAAACAGCTATTCAGCAATGCTAAATTAAGTTTATTGAAATATAGCTGTCTGAGTGGTCGAACAACATTAATTTTGTTGGAAGCTAACATTAGCATAAACCTTGGCAATTATGTAGCATGTAAGACCCACAAACTCAGAAGCTGTAATATAATACATGCATTACCCTTCACATAAACAAAAACTCCACATTTTATTCTATATAAAATCATTATTTAGCACTTTGCTCACTTACCTGGCTTATGCTGACAGTCGCCTCCGTTCCACTGCGGGATAAGAAAATGGCGGCAGAAACGAAACTTAAGAAGCGAAAATGGGCGTGGTCTTTCTATATTACTCTGATAGAATTTCCTCTGTCTTTTGGCTCCAACTCTAGCGGCCAATTGAAGTGATTAGGTTCCAAAACGTGCAATAACTACTCTTTTAGATGAAAATGATGTTGACCCTGGAAAAATCACTCTCTCCGTTTTCCTGTGTGTCCTTCTCCTCCTCTTCAGTTTGCCTCAACATAAGCTCGTCATATTCTGTGATATGATTTACTCTGAGATGTTTGACGAGGTTAGTGATGTTGCCACAACACCGTACTTTCTTGCCAGATGTATCGCAAACCAGGTCTTGGCTGTTTGTGCACAGCAAATTCAAAAGTGTTAAATGTTTTGGTGTTAATAGTCTTCTTGCAAAAGTAGAGTTAATTTTACTCTAAGCAGAGTCACATTCTTTTAATGTAACTCTGAGGTGTAAAATGATAGTAGTTAAAATCGAGTGTTAAAAATGAGTGTTTCTCTGTCAAATCTGGAGGTGTTACAATGGAAACATTAACTCTTGACCTCTTAACTCTGAACTCCTACAGGGGCTATGACACCAACAGAGTAAATTCACAGACTCCGCCCCCAGCACGGCTCCAATCGAAGCTGAAGTGAAGCCGTTTCAGAACATTTTGCTCTACATATTTGAGTTGTTTGCCATGCTTGGTAAGTCATTTTTCAAAGATTGTTTCAATTATTATTATGAGCTTTTACTTCTGTGGCTCTTTGGAGTTGAGACAAAGCTGTGTGAAAGGCATTAGCCATGTTGCTCGCTGATAGCATAATATTCTGTTTTAGCTAGCTGAAAGGTATTGTTTGCGGGCAAATACCACAGCCTTGAAAAAAGCTTGCATGTGAATTTTCAGTCAAACTTTTGGTCAAATACACCTAAAACAATGTGTAGAATGTGAAATGTTGGTATAATGGTGCTACTTGAAGCCTGAAAACGATCGCCCATAAAAAACACGAGCAAACAGCAGTAGCTGACGTCCTGACTGGATTCTACGTTAGCATAGATCCCTCCAGAGTTTTGTGCACACGGTTTAGGTAAAAATGAAAAAGGTTGAGGTTTTACATTTAGTTCAGTATTACCTGTTGCCTGTGTCCTTGTCTTTTGGGAAAATACTTTACACAAGTAATGGCTCAAAGAGGATTCCTTTTTTTTTTACTGTGCTGCAATTGTTTACTGGATGATTTGTGCCATTAATTAGTGTCAACTAATTTTTATTCAATCTCCGCACAGGATATGCTTGTGAAGATGGAATATGGGGGAGAGCAGAAGTGCGTTGAAGTTCCACAAAGGGATGAATGAAGGACATGCATATTGTATTGAAGAAATAAGTGATGAGAATGCTGTTATTTGCATTTACCATGTCAGACCCTTTTGACAAACAAAATTCTAATGAAAGTGAGAACATGTACACTGTTACATCTTTCAGAAAATGTTTTGAAATTGTGCTGCACAGTTCAGAATAAATGTTTTTCAAAAACCATTGCATCTTTTTAGTAAATGTTTATTTCCAAAATAAATTTCTAGAAGTTCAGAACAGGAAAATTCCCGCTTTTTAGAATGAATTAGAAGATAACTCTTACGTAGTTAAACTAAAATACTCTTTGAGAGTTAATATATAAACTCTTAACACCAAGTGTTAAATTATCAACTCCAGACAGATTTGGTGTTTAACACTAAATCAGAGTTAACGTACCAACTCTCCAAAAAGAGTTAAATTAACACTCTCTGGTGTGGACCCATATAGACACTTTAATAGTGTTGAAATCAAATCCACACATGACTCTGTTTACACTCAGCCATTGCTGTGAGTGCGCACGCCAGGGGCTGTGACACATTTATACAGCCGTGTTTTGCACATGACTGTGAAAGTCGGTAGAGGAAGTAGTTCCTTCCAATTTAGACGATCTGAATGATATAGTTTCTTTCCACTGTGTTCCTGTTAATGAAAAACTACAAATTTACCCCAGAGTACTAAAATATTGATATTTTAATATGAGAATCGATTCTAGAACATAAATTACTGGCATCGGAAGAATCGATATGTCAATATCGATCCGCACACCACTAGTAAGTAGTAAATATAAACACAAACATGCCTATTGTTAACATCACACACTGTAAACTTGTTTTTTTAGAAATTAACTTAAATATATATTTACATCTACACTTTATTATACATGATTGTCGACATGGGTTTTATATATGGATCATTATGAATATTTAAATAAACATGGATTTTAGTGTTTCAAAGCTTGTTGTAACTTTATTATAAGAGTCTATGATAGTGTGTGTATAACCCCAGCCTGAACTTCAGGTTCCAGTTTCCCTCTAGTGTCACCAAAAACATCCACTACAATAAAATCCAATCTAAAAGTCAGAGAAATTATGTGTTTTACACATTGTGTAATGCTTTTGGACCAATGTTGACATTCAAATGTGGAACACAGACCTTGCGTTGTGGGCAGCAAAAGCATATTTAACATTCAAGAACTACATCTTTGATGAAGGAGGGGCTTTGAGGCTTTTCCTGAGAGAGATTTGTCTGGGCAGAGCGACACAGATCCTGAGAGTATGTCCTGTGGTTGAAGTCTCTAATCTTCCATATGTTGTCACTTTCTTCCAGTTCCTTTTAGAGGTTAAATGTCTCCAAAGCATTTTGAAACTGCTCTGAATAAATTGCGCTATTTAAATAAATTTGCCTGGCTTTGCTTTCACGATGCAAATGAACAGGTCTCTCTTTCAACTTAGCTCAAACTCCCAGTCATGCCTGTGTTTGACAGAGGCAGGAGAAGGTGCAGCACGGCAACAAAGGAGAGCGATTCTAATATCAGAAAAAGACTAATAGGCGATTATGTTAGAAACTGGAGGCTTTCTGGAAGAGGCAGCAAATGCACTGTGGACCACGGATGGCATTAATTTGCAATGCAGACTGTACATCGGCTCCAACAAAAATCTGATGGATGCAATACTTAAACTAAACAAACAGCAAAGGTCTCAGAACAAAGGAAGTGTGTGACATGTAGATGATACAGAAAACTCTTACAGCAACAGAAAAAGAGGGAAACAATCGCAGGACTTTTCTCTGTTGCTTTGATTGACATCAGAACATTTTTTTTAAGAAATCCTTCAGATGTGTGAGCTCTGTCTTTGTCTTCTACAGAGAGACTCCGCCATTAACGCAAACAGCCAGTTTTTGGACATGAACTAAATCTAAGTCACAGCACTGACCCTGTACAACTGTGTATAATAATCTCTTACATGCCTGTGTTTGCTTGTTATATTAGCTAATGTTCATATCCCACACATTCATGTGAAGTAAGCACAGGGCAGGAAAATGATGCTTTCTTTCACCGTGTTTGTGATCCCTCTGTAGTAAAACGTTTTATTAATAAAAGGTCATAGTAAAAAGGTCAGACCCAATAAATGATTCACATCCATTTCACAACAGAAAAAAGCATGAAAGCATGGTGATGCAGAGGTTAGTGCTGTTATCTCAGAGCAAGAATGTCCTGGGTTTGAAACCTGCCAGCTGGCCGGTGTGTGCATGTTCTCCCACGTGTGCGTCGGTTCTTCCAAACACATGCATATTATGTTAACTGGCAAGTCAAGTTGGCCACTGGTGTGACTGTGAGTGTAAATGTAGCTCAGGAGGTAGAGCAGGTCACCTACTGATCGGAAGGTCGGTGGTTTGATCCCTGGTTCCTCCAGTCTGCATGTCAAGTATCCTTGGGCAAGATACTAACCCCAACTTGCTCTCCAATGCATCCATCGGAGTGTGAATGTGTATAAATGTCGTTAGAAAGCACTAAGTGTAGATAAAGTGCTTGTGAGAATGGGTGTGATTGGGTGAATGAGGCATGTTGTAGCGCTTTGAGTACTCAGTGAGAGTAGAAAAGCGCTCTATAAGAATCAGTCCATTTACCACAGTCCTCTGATGAATCTGAAGTGGGAAATGTCTGTATTTGCATTCATACCTGTGAGTATATCTGCACTGCTTCGGCATCCAGAGTGAAACTGAGCTGCTCCTGGTAGTCTTATAGGTAATAATTTTAAACTTAGCAAGGGGAAAAGAAGTGATTCAAGCAGTAAGAATAATGTTGAGTAGCTGAATGTCTATACTGGCAGAATAGCTATTTACGTTAGCATGATGAGCAAACTGATGCCTTATTTCCTTGTTCCTTTTACTCTGACACACACACACACCATTCCAATTCAGTTCAGTTTTATTTATATAGTACCATCGCAACAGCAGTCACCTTGAGGCACTTTATAAGGTAAAGACCTCATAATAATAGAGAGAAAACCCCACCAATCAATAGAGGGAAGGAAAAGCTCCCTTTTGACAGGAAGAACCCTCGGGCACACCAAGCTGTGGGAGGGCAGCCATCTGCCACGATCAAACTGGGGGTGAGGGAAGGGGGGCAGGACAAAAGACACAGTGTGGAAGACATAAAGAGATTAATAATAGCTAATGATTAAATGCAAAGTGTTGTATGAACACATAGTGTTTCACACTGTTTCCTTGTCTTGGCACACAGCTAACAAGTGTTTTGTACTGTTGTGATCATATTAAGTTATCTGCTGAGGAGCTCATCCTTCCCACTGTGAAGTAAAACCTGAACGCTGCTCCACAAGCAGTAACTCGAGTCTGTGTAGAAACATTACCATGCTAGTTGTGGATTATGTGGTGAAGGATATGAAGTCAAATCAATATATTCAGAGGTCAACAAACAGCAGGCTGCACACCCTGTGTATGTATCATCAGCACACACACGCTAAAGAGGTGTTTAGTTTTGCATTTCTCTAAAAAAACCTTCATCAGGCAGAAACATCAAAATGTATAGCATTATTTTCAAGGCTCTTCTCTAATGTCTACAAAGGAGTAAGGCCCCAAAACGAGACCTAAGAACTTTCAGAACATCTGCATCCAATCCATCCACTGGACTTGGATAAT